TAATGTTTATATTTTAGTTTGTCCTATGAAATATATTTATAAATATATGTATAATTAAAATGGTGGTATAATGGTAATGGTGGTATATGGGCTACACTTCTTTGAAGATCTACATACCTTAAATATATTACTCCAACCAATATTTAGAGATGCATGCTTAAAAATAGAATTGTTGGAAGATAACAAAGAATAGAATGAATACTCCTTGAAAGCTTCTACAATAATAATAATAATAATAATAATAATAATAATAATCATTAAAAAAATTATTTGCTATTATTTTTCTTTAATGTTAACATATACATCCAAAAGAACTATGACACAAGTATAAAGAAAGTTTTTGTAAAGATGTGGCTTATTAATTGACTCAAAATTATGGAACTGAGAAGCCAACAAAAAGACATATATTATATTATGGAATATTTCTTCTTAATGAAATTCTTCAAGAATCAAGCAAAATACTTGTTGATTTTTTATTAGTATTATTATAGAAAAAGAATTGGAATAAAAATACTATAAATAAAATATTAATGGAGTATATGGCATAGAATTATAACAAATTAAAAAAAATAATAGAAGAACATGTGCCAAAGGAAAATGACAAATAATGCACCATATATTTGGATATCCTTGCTTGAATATATAATAATCTTGAAAATTTATATTTTTTGAAAGAATTAACTGGAATTAAAAAATAAATAAAAATCAATAGAGCATCAATGAAGTTTCAAAGTGATAGAATTGCAACATAACTTTTAAGCAACAAACCAATTATGTATCTTATATTTAAAATTCTATTCAAACTTGATGCAGATTTATTTTGCAATATTACAAAGAATGCATCCTACATAGATGTGATAAGAAAGACAATTATTATCATTTGAATAAGGTACCAATGCAACATTGTCATTGTGAGGCACTTGATAAAACTTGCTAAGTTATAAATGACTCTAATAAGTTATTTGGTAGAATTACTATAATCTTTGATAGCGATTTTTGGTAAATTCTTCATGTTGTTATTAAGGATTTAAGAAAAAATATTGTTGATTCTTCTTTGTAACAATCAAAGATTTTTTCTTATATTAAAGTGTATAAGTTGATAAAAAAATATGTATTTAAAAGGTCTATTTAATAAAAATTAATTATTTATTGAATAGCTCTTAAAGTTATGTATCATGTAAGACTATTATTTACAAAAGTTGTCTTATATAATATAATTTTTATGTTTAATATATCTAAGAATGGTTTTTATTTGTAAATTAGAAACAAATTATCAATTATAGATCTAACAAGAAATATGGTGATTCTTTCAAAACGTATGAAAATAGGTCCAATATCAAATAATTTAGTTCAAGTTGTGTATTTGTAACTAAATGAATATGAGACATTTAGAAATGAATATTTCATAAATAGGTCTATTTTATCTATATAAAATTAAAATATTAATGATCTAAATAAGCATATTATAAAGATGTTTTTTAAAATTTTAGATGATTAATTTAATACATATATATTAATTATAGAAGATGGTGCTAATAATAATCATTCTTATCCAACTAAGTATCTGAATAATTTAAGACCATTTGGATTGCCACCATTTAGCTCATAGCTAAAAGTTGGATATCTTATTATATTCTTATAAAACATCACTTTACATCAAAGACTTTGTAATAGATCACACTTGGTAATTATAGAGCTCACTAATCAAGTTATTAAGGCAAGAATTTTTTCTAAAGACTATAAGAGATAGTTATCTTTTCTACTAATGATTACATTATATCCATCATCTACAAAGTTTCTATTCAAAGGTAGTTTCTAATAAAGAAAGGATTTGCAATAACCATTAACAAATCTCAAAGATAATTGTTAAAGATCATGAAAATTGATCTTAAAATCTTTGTATTTACACATAGATAATTATAGACTATCCTTTAGTGATGCACTTCTATAAATATGATCAGGATCTTATATCTTAAAAATAATAAAGATAAAAATACTATTGTAAATATAATTTATCTTGAAATTCTTTTAACTTAGCTATTTTAGTTTTTGTAATAAAAGCAATTATATTTACCAATTATAATAAAAAAATGAATTATTCTATTGTTATATATATATATATATATATATATATATATATATATATTTCTTAATTAATAAATTTTAGAAGTGGTAAATTTTTGATTTAGAAACTACAAATTAAACTTTTATATCTTTTTCATGGCCAACAACAAGGGTTTTTATTACTATATATATATATATATATTGATAGATTCATTCAAATTTGTCTTGAATGTCTTATTTGTGATAAAATTATTTTTTTATAGTTAAATCTTGTTGCTCTTAAATCAATAGGAATATCTGAAGCTAATCAAAGATTATTTCTAAGCTGATCATTTTTTAATTGCTATTGTTGATATTGCTGTAGTCTTTTACAAAAATCATTTAAAATAATAAATATCTTTTATTTTACACATGATCTTGAAAAATCCTTTAATCAATATTGTTCTTAGTGCCAATTCAAGCACTATACTTATAAAACATGTTTATATGTGTTACTATTCATTGGGTAGAGAACTTTGTTTAAAATGCAAATAACAATATTTCTCTTCAAAATCTCTCAAATAAAACTTGTTGTTACAAAAAACAAAGTAATATATGACTACATATTATAATAGATTTTGAATTCTGCAACTACAAAAGAGAGTTTGCACATGCATACATGCAAAAACTTTATTGATTAGGCAAATGTCTACTTACAAATATGCATGGTTCTTTGGTCCCTAAATTTTTTACTTATAATGCAATAGGAACATTTTGTGTGTAATAAACTTGAGCTTATTCAACATTCCACTCTATATTATTTATGTGAATAGAATTCTCTTATATCTCATTTATTAAAACAATCAATATTTATCTTTATTTGTGTTGATTTGTCTATTTTTTCATATATACCTCTAAATTACATTGTTCTATGTTGAATCTCAATTACTTACTTTGTCATGTTTTTCTTAAAACAAAAAATTGATCCTCTATGTGTGTGTATATACACATATTTTTTCTTAAAATTTTAAAAATAAATATTACTACATAACAATTAATATAGTTTGCAATCTGCAATTTTTTTTTTTGATTTTAATTATGATTATTTTTAAAAATCCAACATAGGATATGCTAAACAATTAAAATGAGCACACTTGGGATTCAAATTATGATAACTGTGTTTAAATTCTAAGTTACATGATGTGTAATACTTAAAGAATGGAGGCATTAAAACTGTTAAAATAAACCTTAATCTTTTACACAAAACCATTTGGTTTCATTGTCTCAGACAATATGTTTGTCCTACCACCAATGACTTTTACAGTGATATTCAAAGCTACATAGGTGACTTGGATTCCTAAGCACTGATATCACTTTTACTAATTCAATATATTGCTTAACCACAATATACAACAGTTTACTGTGACGAGTTTCTAATACATACAAAGATACTAGAAGATTGATTATACCAATGAAACTTATGAACAGAATGTCATGCATCAAAATAAAATAGAAGGTATGAAAGATATCCCACTAGATTTTAGTATGTAATTAAAGCCTTTTACCAAACCATATTCATTTCTTACAGTCTACTATTTTTTATTTTATTTTATTTAAAATAAAAAAAACTCATGTATGGACATAGAAATTTTGATGCAAGTTAATGATTTGTTTGCTTAACTTCAGCAAGATTGCAGAGGTTTATGCCATTAAAGAGTTTTGAGATTCGTGGGGGTGTTATATGCCTAGAATTACTGCAGAGATTGATTTTAACTTTAATATATATATATATATATATATATATATATGTTGCTTTTATGGAAGTGAAGTTGCAAGCATTCTTATAATAAAGTACTGAATATATGACAAATATTTGTTACATGTAAATCACGTAGTCTCATCTTTTAGACTTTAGGTTTATCTTTTTGTAAATAGGGTTTAAATGCCACTAATTGTAATTGAGTAATAGAAGTCTTCACTGGGGATTGTAATTTATGTGTTGAAAAACATCTAGACTTGTGCAGTTACATGATCAAGGCTAAGTTTACCATAAAAGAATTTAATATGATACCCTATTTTTGTTTGCTGCTTGTGTAAAATAACTCCATAACTTTCAATGAAGTACAAAATGTCATGTTTACTTCATTGTTGATTACAAATTAAGATGTCTTGATTTGTGTAGAACTGAAATAAATAAACCAAATTTTTATATCACTTATCTTAGCATAACTTTGTGTTCATTAAGTGCAATGCAAATATTTAAAATCACTCATCACAACCAACATTAATATATTTCAATTAAAATTTTGTATGCCCACATTTTTCTATCAACTACACTTGAAAATAATTAATTAATTCTAAATTGATCCACATTGTTTTACAGTACAAAATGCATTATATTTCAACTTTTTTGAGAAATATTAAAGGAAATTATTAAATCAACCCATGCATTTAGTAAATCAACACACCCATCATCATTGGTTGGGGATCCAATCATTTTTTCATTGGTTTTCAACTAATATGGATTCAGCAGTAGAGAATTTAGTACAATGGTTAAGATAAGTGATTGTACTAAATTCTCTATTGTACTAAATTCTCTATTGTATGGATTCAGCAAAAGAGAATTTAGTATGATGGTTAAGATAAGTGGGTCAATATAGAAAATGCCTAGGTTCATTTAACAATTCCCATATTAAAATGGCCATTTCACACTCATTTACACAACAAGGATAATTCAATCTACAACCCTCAAAACACAGTCTAGATTTCGTACACCAATTCGTATTTTACCACCCAAGGAGTAAAATAAAAACATGTAATAACACATAGTTTAGATCTTTGTGAACCTTACAGAAGTTGACAAGTGGCATACACCTGGAGGAGTTAAGAATCTGACCTGGACGCATACGTGTCAAATTCGTCACGGCCGCGGCATGATCCCTCTGAGGCCACTCTCAAGCAACAGCCTTCTCCGAGAGTCTCGACTAAACCCTAACTCGGACTTCGTTTTTCCAATTCTCTGAGCCTCACTAGCATTGACTCCGGGAGACTTCGGCGAATTTAGGGACCATTTTGGAGACCAAGCGCGCAGACTGCAGCAATTCGGCACAAATTTAGATACCAAGGTTTGCATGAATCGGATTTTCTGGAACTTCAGTGTGCTCTGTTCTGTGCTTTTTTTGTGTATGAATTTTGGTGCTGTTAGGGTTTTGTGAGTTCAGTTGATCGGAATTTAAGTTTGCATGTATGTTGTTGAGTTTCGCGATTGCGAGGATGTGTGTTTCCAGCAGATTTCGTAACCTAGATAGAAGGGAGTTTGTCAGGGAGGTGTTTGGATAAATGCTAATTGAGTCGAATGTTGAATTGGGTCTCTTTCATGTCGTCTTACTGCTAGAGATGGCCTTTTGCAGAGTTCTAGTACGTCTGGGAAGTGATTTGAGCTCGGATTAGGCGATTTTGCTTCCGCCACCATGGTGGCAGTAGTAAACTGATTGACTCGATTTAGAATCATAGTTTTCTATCAGCTGTGGACGTCTGTGGATTGTGATGGTGGCTGTTGAGTCTGAGGTTGGATGGCTTATGTGAAGATGGCAGATGATCTACAAAGGTGGTGGAGGCAGAAGAGAGAGGGTCATCTTGCTCTGCAGCAAAATTGTGTATCTTGCAAGGGATCCTTCATGATTCCATCTGCGGTTGAGGACAGCGAAAGGGCTGCTAGGGCGAGGCACTGCACCGATGGTACGCATGCCGTCAACTCTCCTGCAAATTCTCTCAACATGGAATGCACAAGCATTAGCTAGGAAACTGGTTAACTTCCGCTCGGACTTTCGAGAATATTATTTTGTATCAGCTCACTGAATCTAATATCATGAATCGTATCGAATTCGGAATCATAAGTCTCAATTATAGGAACGACTTTGACTCACTTGAGCACTGACCATCCTGCTGCGGCTGTTTTAGAGGGAGCAAAGGCTGGTTTTAAGGCGGCCTGCATTGCTTTTGTAGCAAGTAGCATTCCGACTGTAAGGCTGCTCTGTACCTTCCTCCTTTCGCCGTTTTCGTTTTTAGTGGTGCATCAACTTCAGAAGAGAGCACATGTTGTGATTGCACTAACGATTATGCGTTTCTGTTTTTGTGTTGGGTTATACGGATGATCAGCTGACTGCTGTCCGAATGTTCCCTAAGGTTAAAGCGAGTCTCAATTACACAGGACAAGCCCTAATCGTCTCTGCAGGTATTTTCCTTTTCGGCCCTTACAGGTGTGCAGTTACCATTACTGGTTTATTTGTTTTTATTTCTTGTATATTCTTTTGAAAAGTAGTTGTTTTCACGTATGTTTTGTTACCAAGTCTACCTTATTTTATTTACTTATATTTATACTGCAAATTGGTGGTCATATATGTGAAATGCGCACATCGTCCTTAATTGTTATTTTAACGTCTTGTGCAGCCTCTATAGCGAGTTACTTCATTGTTTCAGATCAAACTATTCATGAATGCTCCCGCAAATCATCCTACGCTGCTCTTGAGAAGAGGCGGTCTGAAGTGTCATGAATATTTTCTTGATAGTTACTGCGTACTAGCAGTAGGCAGGGTTTTAAGTTTAGGGTTACTGTCTTAGCATAGCAGAGCTGTCGAGATATGTGCACAAATGTGGCAATCGTAAAAGTTTGTTCACATGGGTTCCTACTTTAAGTTCGAATACAAACAGTTGCACCTTCTCATCGAAAGGTTACGTGGTATCTCTAATAAATGCTGAAGTGCGCGAGTAGGCATATTTGTTCCACTAACATTGTGCAACATCTTTAAAAGGGGTGCGACAGTGCAACCTGTGAAAGACTTTTCAGTAGGTAGCTTATGCATGGCTGGAAGAGGGTGAGTTGATGTGTTGTAATTTTAACCCAAGAGGTGAGAACTCTTTCACTTACGAGGAGTCGATTGTTTGCTTGGTGCATTTTAATGATGGTGTGCAGGGGTCAAGGTCTTGGGTTTCTTCATTATCGAAGAAATATATTTTGGCGGTATTTCTTTGTTGGAGTCTTAACCTTCGAATTTGGTTTCTAATGCCTAGGCCTATGAGTACGCAACGGCAATAATGACCATTCGAAGACAAATGAACGTGCGCACTCTTCAGGACATGCTTTACCATATATACGCAACTCAGGAACACACTGTTCGTTAACACCACTTGTACCAAAGGTTATGTTTGTTGGTCAGGGAGGAGCACTCTACGCAATTTTCGTAGTGATACAGAAGATAGGCAAAGTCAGACCCACAGGAGATGAAAACTGCTGGGGAAAAACTGGAGTTCTACATTAGTTTCGCTAGGGTCTCCAGGATATCTCGAGAGGGTTAATGACCAGCCCAGCAGATTTCAGGTCTTGTGACAATTGTGACAGCTCGTAACTAGTGCAGGCACCATGATCTCTTCAAGCTGTGCATGAGCGGGATAACACCAACGTAAAGTATATTCTACCACGTGATTTTAACAGAACCCCTCATGTCCAATAACATCTCTCTCAATATTATATGGTGTACCTACCACGAGGACAATGACTCTTACGTAACGTTGTCCTAGCAGGCTTAACAAACAATTGTTAGTCATCACGTATTTTAATAATCGACACTCCTGAAATGACTCACTAGGAGGCCAAACAACAACCAGTTCAAAATTCCTGATGTCATCTTAGGCAGAAAGAAGAAACATGGTTTACAGTTAGAATGTTAATAAGATCGCTTACAACTCCCAGCAATTCATATGTTCATTTGGTTTGTGATAGATTCTTGCGTCACCTCCTAACTTGAACAGCAAGAGGTGCCCCACAAAGTTCATATCTTACACCCTCGAATTTGCAAATAAATGGCCTCAACAGCTAGTTTAAAAAAGAAAAAATCACAGAAAGAAAGAAAGAAAGAAATCGAGACAAAGCTTGCCCCAGGACCAATCATATCACGGAATACTTTCTCACTATTGTACCCTCGACAACTCCGTATTCACATTGCTTGTTCAAACATCTCTTTTTATTGGAAACAGGTACCTTGAAAACATGATCCTTGGCACGCTAGAAGACAGAAATATGACTTCGTGAAACTAGATACACCAATTTCTTTACATATATTGTTAACAGAATCTGGAAAATAAGAGGAATCTGATGTGCATTAAGGTGAACAAACCAAGCGAAACCTGCCAGGAAAGAAAGGAGCCTCATCTCCAGGGCCTGCTGGATACATTTAACTCAATTCGATTCAAGATATAAAGCATGAAAGCGAGATGCGCACATGTGTTCTTTTCTGTCTTTTCAGAGATAGCAATGTTCTGCAACTTTGCACCCTGCCACCTCTTCATTGCTTATCCTTTCCAACTGGGAGCTACTATATTCTTCTGAATATGACTCCACTGCCCCAACCTTAGCAATGCCTTGGGCTCTTCAATTTTGAGTCTCCTGATCCGCTAGGTGTAGTTTGCAGGCTCTTCCCCTCTTCCATCTTGTGATCCACGACGAATTGTTGAGAGATATGCATCAGTTCTGTATTTATATTTCCTCTTCAATCCACTGACAGGGTTTTAACGAACACTCGTTTATTCAGTAAAATATAGGTGAGCGCCAAACATATATCAGCATATTTGCGGGATGCATCACTTGCCTTAGTGGAATGCTCAACCAATGCCCACAATGTAGCAAGTTGATTTTATTTATTCTTTTTCAAAGCTAAGAAAAAGTACATAAATTAGACATCCAATACCGAGGTTGCAATCAACAGCAAAGCAAAGCAGAAAGTAGTCTTGAGTACAATATCTCAAACTTCACAAAGGGACAGTGTACGTCTGTCTCGTCCAGTTGTATGGCTTTAAATATAACTGCCGTGGCTATGGCTAGTAATCTCGACCTACCCTAACCTGCGGTTGCACCCACCTTATCTTCCTACTCCTCGTCGCTGCTGCTGCTGTCTTCGCCATCGCTGCAACCAGCAGACTGCACCTTCTTCATCACCATGTTACGAGACCGAAGCTGCTTCACAATGAAATCCTGCGTCACCATCCTCGTTTCATTGATATTCAATCCCCGTTTGGCAATCCACAAAGCCCATCGTGATATGTTCTAATGTTTTGAAAGCATAATTTCCTGAAAACAAAAACATGAAACAACACAGCAAAGCAATTCTACCGCCCATAAACGACCTAACTCCTGAGTCTCATACACTTAGTCCTGATAAATGCATGCGGAACCCTGCTATAATTCCAGACACTTGCATGGTTGTAAAGCACAAAACGACATAGTCAGGAAAAATCATGACAACTGATACACAAGTAATGGAAAAAACACACGCAAAATGAGATATGGGTTCTATCTAGATCGAACCCTCATCCTCTAACCCCTAATGTTCGTTGTAGTCCACTTCAAGCACCCGCCACATCAATGCATGAAGAACTTCCATTTCCATTTGGATTCATGATAAACGCGTTTCCTGTAACGTAGAAAATGAACCCCAGTTCCTATTACATTTATTTAAGGGCATTATCAAATGACCACATCTGCTGTTGGGTTTTCTGAGAACTGGAAGACCCACAGAGTGTGCAATTTATTCATGTGTTGTTAATAGCTTATACTTCAGTGTAGATGTGAAAAGTTTGTATGTATTGTGCATTAATCCAAACATACTGCAAAAGCTTCATCGGATAGTTGATGCAGTCAATAGGGAAAAGGCAATTTGACATTGTACACCAATTCTTGTAACATGTGATGAACATATGGCAGTTAATATTTTTTTGAGAATGAACTTTTTTATTTGAATAACTAATCAATTCACCTTCATTAATAAAAACTGTCTTTTTAAAATCAGAATATATTTCCTTGAAACTAGAGACCCATTGAAAACCAAAATATATTTCCTTGAATCAAAATAAAACTGTCTTTTTAAAATCAGAATAAATGCACAAATGTCCTTGAATAAGCATCTCAAAAGCAAAGGTAAAGAAGGTAGAGATGGTAGAAAATTTTTTCCTTGATGACAACATTGTCCAAATAATGGCAAGTCCTTTGACGTTTGGGCTAAATGTTCATCAAACCAATGTAGTGTATTACAATGAAGACACAAAAAATTCATCCTTTCTAGATTTTGTATGGCTTTAGGACTTGTAATTATTTTAGCTTCTCTTTATGCTCTCTAACATTTTATATGTTGTTGTTGAGCAATTGTTCTCCAATTCATTGTTAAAGCTAGACCATTTACAACAACACAAGTTCTACCAAACAATTAGAGTAAGCTTCTAAGTGTCAAAATTATACATCCATAAAATTCCAATAGAACCTTATTACTCAAATATTTTAGCAAAATTACATTGTAGTTGTAAAATAAAAATGAGGGCATTGTTGTATTATATATGTTCTTGTTTGAGAATGAATTCGGCACTTAGCTGTAGAAGGTAAATAAAAATGCAGCAACAATCCTACCAAGTCTAATAGAATTTCAAATAAACTTTAAATAAACCTTAATAATCCTAATCAAACTTTGACCAATCCAACATAAATTTAAAAGAAGTTATAAAAAAATCACAAAAGTCCTAAACTAATCTAAAAAAATATAAAAATAAATCTTTAAAAAAATATCAATAAACCTAAAGAAATATTAGAAATAAAAAATCTTTAAAAAAATCTTTTTAAATACTAAAAATAGAATAAATAAATAAATATTAATCATATTCTAATGTAATCCTAACTAAAACCTTAATGAATCTTAACCAAATCTTAGGTCAAATCCTAATTGAACCTTAATCAAATCCTAAGTCAAATCTTAATTGAAATTCTAATTGAATCTTAGACAAATCCTAAATCAAATCCTAATTAAATTCTAATCAAACTCTAAATCTTAAATAATTCTTGTAGGAGATTGAAACCTCAATGTTGAAAATCAAGTCTAAAATCCATATAGAACCTAATGATTGAACTATTGATATCAATTCAAAATTTGTATACTTTTTAACATCTTAATTAGAAATAAGTACAAAAAAGATGAAATTGATTGCATTTACTAATTCAAAGAAATATAAGATAATCCAATCAGGTATTGAACAGCCTCCTACTCCAATCTAAATGCTAAACTTCCAATGCCAATATCTCCTTCTTGAACTATTAAATTGTACTCAAATTTCATCTAAATTTTGAAAATCAAGTCTAAAATCTATATAGAAAATTATACTTCAATCCAAGTGAGAAATTGCTTAAGATCTTAGAAACATTCACTGATCTTCAAACTCTAATTTTTGAGACCTCAATCCATAAAAGCCTTCTTATACTTCAATTTAACCATTCAATTGACTTCAAAATTTGCATACACATTTACAATTAATACACCAATATATTTTCCAAATTTCTTGTATATACATACCACAAAATTCAAGAAATCCTCAAATTTGTAAACATATTTTTATTTTTCAAACCCTTATACCACCAAAAACATCACTAACTTTAAAAATCTCTCAAAATCTCAATATTAATTCAAATGATATGGAATCAATGCATAAAAATCTCTTCTCTAATTTGCTCTCAAATTCTATTTTTTGATCTATAAAAAAACCTCAAAGTTATTATATAGGTATAGTTTTGTGCCTTGGGATTTGATTTTGGCTCTTGTTGTCAAGTGATCCTCTCCAAAAATCAATTTTTGGTAATTTGAGGAAGTTTTGCTTTAATCTATTATTAATTCTCTCTTAAATATTTCTTTATTAATTATTTATTTTATTTTCTTTAATTTAGCTCATTTATGCCTTTACAAAGTAAATAGAAGTTTCTTCCTTAAAATACAACATTAAGAGTAAATCTTTTATTATCTTTCTATTATTTATCCTTATTTTTCTACTATATCTTTGTACTAGATTCTTCTATAATAACGTCCATATTTTTATTTTTTACTATATATTTGTATTACCACATAATATTGTAGAATTTAATTAGTCAAATTATAATGCTATAGTACTTTAACAAAAATATTCAACATCTAAGCCTCTTTACTAATCATGATTATTTTATAGCAACTTGCTATAACAAAATATTTAATTTTACTAAAATTTTATATTTTATAAATCAAAATGAATAAATAAAATTTATAAATATTTGATTTTTTATTTATTAAATAAAATTAATATACATGTATATATATCTATATATATATATTTATATACTTATAAAGTTCAATATAAAAATTGTCACATAAAAGCAAGAAATCAAAATTCTTACAATTAAATTTTTGTATAGCAATTCTTATTGTAGTTGACAATACTTCTAAAATTCCAATAAAACTTTGTTGCTTAAGAATTTTATTTACAATGAAGATATAATATGAAATACAATATAATAAATGTAATATGAAAAATATAAAAACTATTAACATAATTATATAGATAAAAATTATTAATATAAAACTATAAAATGATAAAATAACTTTATTTCTTATAAAATCCCTATATTCATCCATATTTAATAATGATATCCTGGCTTTTGTTATAGAAGAAAGAAAAATGATTGTTGAAGGATGTGAAATGTATGTAGTATAGAATCAAAAAGATAAATATAAATTTCTTTTATTTATGGATTTTTAATAAAAGGCTTAAAAAAATTTATCATTCTTCCTTTTCAATCTTCATGCCTATATTCTAAAATACTAAAAATTAATAATTGCTCAAATTTTCCTTCCAATTGGCTATGCAATTTAATTAATATTTTGATTTGATTTCTTAATGGTGTCTATTTTAAAGTGCTCTTGAGTAAGTTTTAGATGTGCTCTCAATACTTGCTTCATTACAATTCTTTGTGTAATTTCAGGTAATTCTTTATTCCATTGTACATCAATAATGTCTTCTAACAATCAAAAAAATATTGCAGGTTGTGTCATTGTAGTCATAATATCAAGATTAGCAAAAAAAAAATATACAAAGTTTGCAATAGTAAAGATGATGTATCAACAAATATTGATTCTCCACCCTTGTTGTAAATTGACTAAATCCACAACATGCAACATGCTTGAGCTTGAAAAATAATCATGTTAGAATAAAATAGAATAAAATTTTGTTCTTATTATATAACATGCCTATTGCCCCTCTTCTCTCACAACTTGTGCTTTATATTCAATCAAGCATTCAACTTCAATCATATTTAGTCATAGGAAAAAATAAGTCCTATAAACTCTATATATCATTAATTACTATGTTAATATAATGTCATTGATAGTAATTTAGACAAAGTTTTGTCTTGTTTAAAGCATTGATTAAAGTGTAATGAAATGAATTAGTGATAGACAATTTGATCTCCAATGTATGCATTAAAGTTTGATTCAAACTAAAATAGTTTCAAAATAAAAGTTTGCATGATTTGAAACAATGTCTCTAGCCTTATCATATGGAAGAATGTATAGTTAATAGTTGCAACAAATAACATCTACACTCATATCAAACATTCACCTCACTCCAAATTCTGCTTATTTACACATTTCTCTTATCTTATATCAAAATGTAATATCAAAAATAAGTTATTATTCAACACACTCAACCAATTTTCAATACTATTGGGTTCAAAACAATGCAGATCATAATAACTTGTCCATTGAACCATGCCTCATCATTATTTGTGTTCTTATTAGCAAAGTCAAAGATCGAGGTCAAATTTGCATCTAGCCTAGTAAACTCTTTTTATTGTTCATTGCTATGATAATATAATATTATTGATAATAATTAATGTTTTTAATATAATTTTATTTATTATAATATTATTGATGGCAATATAGATAGATTTTTATCTTATTTTAAGCATTATTTAAAGTGAGATGAAATGAGTTGGTAATAGATAATTTGATCCTTAATATTTGAATTGGACTTTAATTCAAACCAAAACGATTCTAAAATGAAAATCTATATGATTCAAGACAATGTTTTTAGCCTTATCATACAGTGTTATAGTACGTGTTGTCTTATTTTGAAATGCATTAGACACCTAATTGTAGAAGTTGAAGTTATATTTTACAAATATTTAAAAAATCCTAATAAGTTTCTCCCATATAAAAACGACGTAATTTGAATTTTGATTCAAAAATACTTAATACAAAGTGCTTAATGCAAAGTGCTCAAAAAAATTCTTTTTAATAACCTCAACCATGCATAAATCTCAATTGCCTTATTACTTTGATAATTAGATAATTTTGATTTTTCTTTACAAGCCCTAAGTCTAGTCAGTGAGCTTTAGTAAGCTGTAATTCCTAATTTGACCATTTACTTGGTGCAAAATTTTGTATACAAATGCAACTATAAGTCTTCTATATGCTTAGGAAAATTCAATCCAATATAACTTACAGTTTGTGAGATAAAGTCCAAAAATTCCACTAATATTACTTAGCTGCCAACTTGAAAGTTGATGTAGATGTTCCAATAGGAATTTTTCTTTCTTCAACTATTAACTTCAACTCAAAATCAAAATGTAATTTGATCTTGAAGTCTTCTAATACCATGCCAAATTTCACTTTGATCCAACTAATAAATCTTTAGATATTATAGAAATCCTATTCAACTTTAAACTGACAACTTCTAATATCTTCTTG